GCAGGCGTGGCACTCATGGTACTGTGTGGCGCGCTTGGTCCGGATTTGTCGCCCGGGGCGCCGCGTCACTTTGCGTGGCAGGCGTGGCACTTGGTGACACCCACCTTCGTTTCACGTGGCAGACGTGGCACAACCTGACATCCACCGTCGTTTTGCGTGGCAGGCGTGGGACAGATGGCACTGGGTGGCGCGCTTGGTCCGGATTTGTCGCCCGGGGCGCCGCGCCACTTTGCGTGGCAGGCGTGGCACTTGGTGACATCCACCTTCGTTTCACGTGGCAGGCGTGGCACAACCTGACATCCACCTTCGTTTTGCGTGGCAGGCGTGGGACAGATGGCACTGGGTGGCGCGCTTGGTCCGGATTTGTCGCCCGGGGCGCCGCGCCACTTTGCGTGGCAGGCGTGGCACTTGGTGACATCCACCTTCGTTTCACGTGGCAGGCGTTGCACAAACTCACATCCACTGTCGTTTTGCGTGGCAGGCGTGGCACCAGCTTTGACACACCCTCTTTCACACACCACTTTGTCACACACCATCTTTCGCACACCATCTTTCACACCCAACTTTGTCACCCACCATCTTTCACGCACCATCTTTCACACACCACATTGTCACCCACCATCTTTGACACACCCTCTTTTACACACCATCTTTGTAACACACCATCTTTCACACACCATCTTTTACACCCAACTTTGTCAAACAGCATCTTTGACACACCAAGTTTCACACACCGCTTTGTCACACACCACTTTGTCACACCATCTTTCACCACACCATCTTCCACACACCATCTTTCACCACCCCATTTTTCACACACAACTTTGTCACACACCATCTTTGACACACCATCTTTCACACAGCACTTTGCCACACACCGTCTTTCACACAACTTTGTCACATGCTCTCTTTCACACAGGACTTTCACCCACACCATCTTTCAGCACACCATCCTTCACACACCACTTTGTCACACACCATCCTTCACACACAACTTTGTCACACACCGACCATCTTTCGCCACACCATCTTTCACACACCACTTTGTCACACACCATCTTTCACACACAACTTTGTCACACACTCTCTTTCACACACAACTTTCACACACGCCATCTTTCACACACTGCTGTGTCACACACACACACCATCTTTCACATTCCACTTTGTCACTCACAACTGTTTTAACTTCTCGATCCTTCACCGCCTCCTTTCCCCTAACCTTCTTTCCCCGTCCCTGCTACAACCTTTCATGCTTATTATTGGAAGAAGTTGACTTGTGGGGTTATCCGGTCCTTTAATTTTGGGATTTCCGGTTCCAATTTTCCCATCATCCAATTCTATGAGTGGTTCATTCTCGAGGTTCTTCATAGAAATCTATGGATTCACCCATCGAATTTTCTCAATTCACCAGCTGGAAAAGCCCAAGAATTTCACCCGGTGCACCGGCTCCACCGGCTCCTGGCCATGTGTCCAATCATCTCCATGACCAGCAACACGGTGGAAATGGCCAGCACAAGGCCTCTGTAAAAAAAAACCGCAGATATCCATCCCCATCACATGACGAAATATTTGGGATTTTTCAACCAAAATATGGCAGGTTTATTGCTTTAATGTGGCTAAAACAATGTCATTTTTACCACCCATGACTGGGAATGGTGTTTATCACCTATAAAAATGGATGGTGACTGGGGGATGGTTTAGTATGGTTTATTATTGTTTTACCCACATTACTAACACTGCAACTGGTTTCAGTAAAAAAAAAATATATATTCGAGTTTTCATAGTGCGGAAGTTTCGAAAAGTTTTTGTTGGAATTAAATTACGTTGTTACACATGCTCTGACTGTTCCATTTTAAATGTGTTTTAAAAGATCTCCTGTTTCCAAAGGTGGTTGATTTTGGGGTTCTCAAGGATGTCATTGGGGAGGCCATCATTGTATACCTGGCTGAAAAGTGTCGTTGCTGCTTTCATGAGTGCCCACGTTTGTTCCTGGGCACACCTGTTTCTTCGGTCTAAGATGCACATGTCTGGTGATGCAATCCTATTTTTACTGGTGATATTCCCAGCTTCATCCGACATTGTCATAGTAGAACGGCGTGTTCACTCCCCACAAGGTGTATATATGTATGTATGTATGTATGTATGTATGTATGTATGTATATATATGTATGTATACCACAAGTCACATTCCAAACAGTCCCATGCAAAATTCCAATTCGTCTAGTAAATTCCAGACCAGAAATTTTGCACTATTTTTTTTTTACGGCAACTCTACCAAGGCTTATCATGTTTCGTAGGTTCGGCCAGTATATAGACATATGAGCCATGTTCTAAATGTCTTAGATCCTGGCACCAAATAAGGAAATGTTTACGCCATTGCTTACGTTTTGCTTACGCTCGCACAGGTTTTGCTTACGCGCATATCTTTTCTTACGCGGAGCTTACGCTGGCTTACGCGCACCACAGTTTTGCTTGCGCCACATCTTTACAAGGGCCC